CCATTGAAAAAAATCTTTTTTTCTTCATAGGCAAACGCTTTAGACCCCGTATACCTATCAGTGCTCGTGTTGAAGAAAGGTGCTTCCAGCATTATGCCACAGTCTCTGGCGAGTTTGCGATTCTATAAAGCAATTATATTATAGGAATGGATTTGAAATTGTCGATCGACAAAGACGTTTGAGCTCAAAATGCAAAATAAAATGCAGGGACAAGTTCATTTAGGTACACTTGTCGTGCTCCGTTCACCATTGCAACAACACTATCGAAGTAGATTATCAATGATAAAAACCTTTCTAGTTAATTTGATGAATACCAAGCCAATTTAGTGTCGTGTCGGGATCGGATTAGTGAAGGAGTCTTTAAAATGAACAGACTGAATACAAGTTCTTTATACAATTGAAATGAGATGCATTTATTCGGCAGAGTGCAGCAACTCTCAATGCAATTACATTGTATATAATTGAGTTAACATGTAGTATATTATGTTTAACGGTTGATGGTTGAAAACCAAGTTCTCATGAACTTTAGTATAAGAAAAGTTTTGGGGAGAGACGCAATGTTTGGATGGGTGACTTAAACATGCTTATGATTGGACAATGGTCAGGGTTGCTATGGTATTATGGGGAGTGGCAATTTTTCGCCTCGCTCGAGTGACTATTATGACTTTCATGTACATACCTGTATTCATTGTGTATCAATTATATTTCCCGTATTCGTCTCTCCTCATTGCATTGGAACTTTTGTATACAATCATTAGTATATGGGAACCTATATCATACAAGCATTGCTTTTTAATAGGTTCCTAATATTTCACGTTACTGATTATTTACTGCCATTATTGTTGTTTGTCATTACGCTTTATCTTGCTGACTATTGATAAAATGTAAACTGTTATTTTGTGTAATGCAAAACAATAACAACAAAACAAACAAATTCACATTGAGCACGCCTGTCAGTTTTAAAGAACGCGAATTTTAATATATTTAACCACTTCACACTGCAAATCGTTGTCTTGATATGATCTTTTCTCTAGATTTCCCACCAACCTAAGAAAGTTATCTTTGTTCATATAATCTGATGATAATACAATGAAAGAAATTCTGCACACTAACCATTTTTTTAAAAGACAGCCTATATACAGTGGAGACACACGATACACTACGTAGTATACTACTGCTATTTTGAATTAATGAATAAAGTGTACGTGAAGGAGAATAAAACCCAAGAAACACCAGCTAATAAACTCATTACAAATTGTCAGCGAATCCACAAACTACCATTGAAATCACTCTTATTTGATTATTTACAAATGAAAACAAGTCCTCCAAAATCTGCAGTTTTCCTTTTAGACATTGTCCGATTTGACACAGTTTTGTTTTCAATAGGAATTTCAGAGTAGTACATATCCATTACCTCACTTAAAATATAACGTTTGCATAATGACTGGCTATAGTACAACTGGAGCCTTCGATGTAAACAGCAGCCATCTTGGTACTTGGTGCATGTGCTTTCTGTGAGCAGTTCTATGTACGTCTTTATCACTCTTTTAAAGAATTGGCAAAATCTAAAGCAAAACGAACTAAGCCTATTCAAATAATAGAAAACGCTCTTAAAATGTATTATGTTATGTATACAAATGTATACAAATGATGTGAGTGAATGAGTTTTTTTAACAATCTATATGCACTCGTTGTGGCTGTTCATGCACATATCGTATTCAGCCTGACAGATTCGTAGGAGAGATTCATAAAGCCTCGACTGAAGTGCGGATAGATTTCTGAATGAACTCTTTCACATACATACATTTTTTTGTTGTTGTAATGACCTGTAGCGTAGTAAAGCGACAGTCATTATGTTAATAAAGACGCCGATAACGATTTATCAACTATTAAGAATTTCAAATATCTACAGGTTTACAAGATTTTACATTCAAATTATTGATATTTACAAGTGCATTGTGAACATTCGCGTACGCTGGGGGAGGGGGGGGGGCGGGGAGGGGGTTGAACCCCTCTTCAGTTTTCTTTATGTGTGTATTTTGGAGCTAACCCCCCCCCTCCCTACGTGATTTTTTTTAAATATTTTTTTTAAACTAAAAAACTAAAAAATAACTTTTTTTTAAAAAGGTATGCCAATGGTTGACCTAAAAAAAAAAAGGTGACGTAACCCCCCCCCAACGGAAATTTTTTCAAATTTTCAAATTTCGAGACCCACAAAAAGTGTCCTCTTACCCCCCCCCCCCCCCATTTTATTATACAACAAACAATATCTGCATATCACGTTACAAAATATTAAAATGCAAAGATTGAACATAAATAGAAAAAAACGTAAAAGGAGGAGAAAAGTTTTACATCAATATATATGAAGGGTGAGATTAGGTATGTGCCTATCATTTAAAACATTTCAAATAAGACTAATCACAGCTCCACTCAAAATTATTTACACAATTAATACATGAAGGTTTAAACACACAATATGGGAAAACTATTTTGCACCCATTTCGACCCAAAATCAGTATACAGTCGATAAATACACAACAAACCTGACCCAAATACCAGCAGTTGCGAAGTCATGGAGGCCACCATCTGCTTTCGATGAAACCACTGAAGCGCGCAGCTGCCCTCTCGTGCTAAGAGTGAGATTCATTGCCATTTGAAATTACTTGCATTTAATAGCGCCTTAACTTTTACGCGCCAAAGATGCGAAACGCGCAACTCAGTCGTGCGTTATTACTTTCAGTCGTGCGTTATCATATAATACACAGCAGTGAAACGGTATTAAGAATTACCCATACAAGGTACCTTTGGAACAGTCTAACACGCAAGAGGCGGTAGCCGAAGGTGTTTGGGCTGTTTTGAAGGTACCGAATGTGGGTAATTTTACAAAATACTGTGTATTATTTGTTTTATAATATTATGTTTTATTTCTTAGTAAATACAAAAAAGTTCTATGACATAATTTTACCCATGACCGGTCATTGGAATTGGATAATGACCGGACACTATTCAAATTACGCGTAAGGCAAAATAAATGCCTGACCACGTGTACGCTTTCAACCAATCATTTGATAAGGATCCACGTCACCATCTTATAAAAAAATAACGATGCGCGGTCAGGTGGTTTCATTTGACAAATTAGATTACCTGCGTTCTTGAACCCTTTTTAAAACACAAAATAATTAAGCTAGAACTGCTTTTTGTAATGACCTAAAGCTACATAATACGATTATAAATGTGTTAAGTTAACACATTTATAGTTAAACAATAACGCCGATAATGCTGAATGCAACTTAATGTTAGTATATACTTATTTTTGAAAGAAAAACCCTGATAATTTGTTTTTCTGACTAGTAATTAATTCAACGATGTACGTTTATAAGTAACCTGGCAGTCAAACGAATTACAAACGAAGAGTAATTATTTTAGAAACATTTTAAATATAGGCTGCTTCTCTCAGAGGCTGGGCGGCCCTATCGACAGTAAACTAGCTGCATGTCCTAGACATGCTAACGGAATGAAAATAAACTGACCACAAAATCCCGCACATGGCATTTAAATACTCCGGCACACGAACAGGCTTAGATATGACATGATATACCCATCCAACCAGGAGGACCCTTACGCAGCCAACCAATTATAAGACGGGATATATAAAATTACCCTTAGGTCATCCGACCAATTAAGAATTAATTAATTATAACCAATGACAAAGCATCATAGATAAGAGTGATTTGAACTAGTCACCGACAAAAATGGGAGGAGTCTATCTCTTGGCGAGAATGTCGCGTCCCCGGCAAAACAGTCTCTTGTCTAACGTGTTATTGGAAATGAACACCTGTACATCTTGATGCAAGAATTCATTTCCAGCGTGCTTATCGAAATGAACACTTTAATCTAATGCAAGCATTCAAAACCAGGGGTTGTTTACCCGTTACCGGCATACTATTGGAAACATAATTAATGCTATTTAAATTGGAGGTGTACACCAAGTCAAACTAATAATCGTACAATTCGTCCTTGTTTTCACGAAGTGACGGTAGTGAGGAAAATCGTAATGCAAAGTGAATGCATTTTTTTTTCACTACCGTCACTTCGTGAAAACAGCGACGAATTAATCAACCCAGCCCGGCTCTTCTATGGCTCTAGCGCCCCCTTTAGGTCAAATAAGATGCCCAAATGAGCGTACCACTACAGTATCGTGATTCCAGTTTGTTGTTTCCTGCTCAATACATTCAGATGAAGCTACATGATTTGTACAATTTTCCCTTTACTGGGATTACTGGCCCCGTAACACACAGGTTCGTATCAATTGCGAAATGATAATGGCCATTTAAGATCATTGTTGCATAGACAAATTCTTTATAAGGCTGACCATCACGAGTCGTTGTTTTAAATTTGCTTAATTGATCGCAAACCTTTGTGTTAATCGGCCAAGATCTTTCTAATGACCTTCCAAAATCAAGCTAGTTCATAATAGGTGCACCCATCAGACTGAACTAGGTATGTAGAACCTGCACTCTCTTTGTTTTCATCGTTCAGCTCGCAAACGCCACCTTTGTAATTGAACGACTTGCATCCTGCGATGCCATTGCACATCATAGTGCAACGTAGCAGGCTCACCATTGGCACGGTATTCACCACGTGATCAGTGAGACAGTAGCCAATCAGATTGCGTCCCTCGTTCTTCTTGGCCACTGAGAAGACACTTGATTTCAGATGGCGTTTGCGTGGTTGACATGCTCGGGTAACGCCATTCACTGCATGCAAACAAGCTAGTCCATAGTAGGTGCACCCATCAGACTGAACGAAGTATCTAGAACGTACACTCTCTTTGCTTTCATCATTCAGCTCGCAAACGCCACCTTTATAATTGAACGACCTGCATCCTGCGATGCCTTTGCACATCATGGTGCACCGTAGCAGGCTCACCATTTGCACGGTCTCCACCACGTGATCAGTGAGACAGTAGCCAATCAGATTGCGTCCCTCGTTGTCCTTGGCTAGGGCGAATACGCTTGATTTGGTTGGAGTCTGAGTGGTTGAGACTTTGTTGGGATTTTTTGCAGGACTTTGGGTGGCCGATACTTGGCTAGTAGTTTGTGTAGGAGCCTGAGCTGATGAGTCTTTGGCGGTAATTTGTCGGGGAGTCTGAATTGTCGAGTATTGGGCAGTAGTTTGTAGAGGAGTCTGAGTTGTCGGGTCTTGAGCGGTAGTCTGTTGAGGAGTCTGAGTTGTCGGGTCTTGGGTGGTAGGCTGTTGATGAGTCTTAGTTGTCGGATCTTGGGCGGTAGTTTGTTGAAGAGTTTGAGTTGTCGGGTCTTGGGCGGTAGTCTGTTGAGGAGTCTGTGTTGTCGGGTCTTGGGCGGTAGTTTGTTGAAGAGTTTTAGTTGTCGAGTATTGGGCAGTAGTTTGTAGAGGAGTCTGAGTTGTCGGGTCTTGAGCGGTAGTCTGTTGAGGAGTCTGAGTTGTCGGGTCTTGGGTGGTAGGCTGTTGATGAGTCTTAGTTGTCGGATCTTGGGCGGTAGTTTGTTGAAGAGTTTGAGTTGTCGGGTCTTGGGCGGTAGTCTGTTGAGGAGTCTGTGTTGTCGGGTCTTGGGCGGTAGTTTGTTGAAGAGTTTTAGTTGTCGGGTCTTGGGCGGTAGTCTGTTGAGGAGCTCGAGTTGTCGGGTCTTGGGCGGTAGTCTGTTGAGGAGTCTGACTTGTCGGGTCTTGGGTGGTAGGCTGTTGATGAGTCTTAGTTGTCGGGTATTGGGCGGTAGTTTGTTGAAGAGTTTGAGTTGTCGGGTCTTGAGCGGTAGTCTGTTGAGGAGTCTGAGTTGTCGGGTCTTGGGTGGTAGGCTGTTGATGAGTCTCAGTTGTCGGATCTTGGGCGGTAGTTTGTTGAAGAGTTTGAGTTGTCGGGTCTTGGGCGGTAGTCTGTTGAGGAGTCTGTGTTGTCGGGTCTTGGGCGGTAGTTTGTTGAAGAGTTTGAGTTGTCGGGTCTTGGGCGGTAGTCTGTTGAGGAGTTCGAGTTGTCGGGTCTTGGGCAGTAGTCTGTTGAGGAGTATGAGTTGTCGGGTCTTGGGTGGTAGGCTGTTGATGAGTCTTAGTTGTCGGGTCTTGGGCGGTAGTTTGTTGAAGAGTTTGAGTTGTCGGGTCTTGGGCGGTAGTCTGTTGAGGAGTCTGTGTTGTCGGGTCTTGGGCGGTAGTTTGTTGAGGAGTTTGAGTTGTCGGGTCTTGGGCGGTAGTCTGTTGAGGAGTCTGAGTTGTCGGGTCTTGGGTGGTTGTCTGTTGATAAGTCTGAGTTGTCGGGTCTTGGGCGGTAGTTTCTTGGGGAGTCGCAGTTGTCGGGTTTTGAGTAATAGACTCAACTGTTTTGGAAAAATGGAAGTGAAGTTAACGCTTGTAAAATGAATAAGGCTTTAAAGAAATACAAATACATGACATATTCATAACTCTACAGAATTTGATTTTGGCCGTAAACCTCTGAAGACAATATTTAAACCATATTGAATAGATATTTTGCACCCAAGACCCTTGAACCGCAATTTTACCATTACCGGTCTATATCTTTCACGAAAACTAAATACTCCATCGTTCTTGTATCAGGCTAGATGTGTCATGTACGAACCGAAAACGGTTCCGTCAATCACCCGTACCTACCCCCATTCACACGCTCAAAACAGAGTTTATGGTTAAAATCAAAGTTCATTTACATAAACTCGTCTACCCAACACTGTTTAATATTTGAAGAATAATATTAAAATAAAAGCTACATAAGGGTATCACAAACATAGAAGACGATTGGAAATGGTTTTATGCAAGAACAGAAGACGATATAGACATTTAAAAAAGGAGATAAGCAAGGAATAAGACGAGAAAATGAAGGAAGAGAAGTTAAAGAGGCAGTAGAATGGAACAATACATTTTTTTTAAAAGAAAAATAAGTTTGAGGAGGAAAAGGAGCAATAATGAAATGACCAATAATACTATGTCTGTAACTTCCTATTCTGTATACAATTTATAGAAAGAAAAAAAATTACCTTCGCACAGAGAAAAGTATTGCTTATTGCATGTATCATCTGTCAAGCCTCCAAGAGTTGGGACATAGTAAACACAGTCAATGCTGCCTCCTCCGGAACCAGCGCTGGTTGGCTCTCCACTTTGCCACAAGGCTGTATGAATTAAAACATATCAACACCGTTAATCACTTACTAAATGCACTGTATTTTACCGACATTGCTTTCGTTAATAAAATGTATTTGAATATGCTCTAGCTTTTAGAGAACGCGTACATAAAACGAGTTCATTTTTCCGTACACAAGTTCAAGTTTAAGTTCAAGTTCATTTTTTTTCCATTTCTCGTATAAAAATGCATTTAACAATACATTATACATATAAGCAAATATATAAATATAAACAATTCAAAGAATATGGAGGAGCCAGCATAGGCCATTGGCCTTTCAAAGGCTGGGCTCCAGTGTCCTCAGATAATAATACAAGGTACAGAGAAAAAAACAATGTGTAGTAGGTAAATAAACAAATGAGTACAGGCTAATTAAATTAAACATACGATAGGAATTCCTTCATTAAATAGTTCTTGTATTTACGTTTAAATGAGACAACAGATGGGCACATTTTTATATGGGTAGGTAGTGCATTCCAACTAATGACTCCGGAATATTTAACTGATCTACGTGAAGTATGGTATTTTAACAATGGAATATATAAATCATTAGGGGCTATTGTTAGTGAATAGGACATGTGTACGTAAAATATTAACACCAGCCACAAAAATCGGTTCAGTAGACGACAAGTTTTCGAAATCGATAACACTAGCTACCGAAAGTTGACGGTATTCAGAGGTCAAAGCCTTAAACAACAGCTCATTTTCATTTCGGTTTTTAGGGCTGGTGTTAATTAAAAGAGCATTGTTCAGTGACCAAAACGTTTTGATATTTTTTTACTTTTTCTAATTTCAAAATGTTAAGAGACGCATCGAAAGTAAAATCAAATCAACAGTAAAATAAAAGTATGATAACGATTCAAAAAAGAATATAAGAAAAAAGAGATTCTTTTACAATGAAAATATGATTATAACATGGCTGTTTTCTTTATGTACATATTTTCTGATTGTTGAACTTACCACTGTTGAGGGCTAGCTGCGTACTGTCTTCACACTCGAATGTTCCCTCTACGGCCTGGTCCGTACAGCCAACCCATAATAAATAGTTGTTTCCCACCTTGCTTATCATATGTTGTGATACGTAATCTGAATCACCGACTTCTACCATCTCATCGAAGCTGTTGAAAACAACAACTTCTCCACCAATAGAGTCACAAGATAATGAAGCCTCTGAATATGTCATCACGTCTTGCAGGGATAAACTGGGAGTAAACTTGTAACATCCGGGTCCTACGCTATCCCATCCAGTTGGGCACGCCGCACCTTTATACCAGAAAATATATATAACAATATAGACCTTCTACTTGTGCATTCTCATTTGATATTAAAAATGATCGGTGATTCGCAAATGTAACGAATAAAATAAGAAGTTTAAACCCAATTTGGTTACTTTCACATCGTTTCTGTGTCTGTAGTGTGGTCTAGTGGATTGTGGGTTAAATGTTTTGCGGTTCGAGTCACACTGCGGTACTAATGTCATTTGTCAAGACATTGATTGATCTAAATTGTCAACACTCCCACCAGATGAAGAAAATAGAAACCATTTTAACTATATTTCATTGAATGTTAAGGCGGAGTGCTTTATCATTCTAGTTTGGCTTAAGCCGTGGTGTAATTATGAGGCCCTCACTGAGAAAAATATGAATGGTATAAATAGAATATAACAATGAATAGGACTTAGTGTTAAATAATGATGCACATCAAAAACGTATGTCAAAAATAGAGAAAGAGAGATAAACAGACAGAATAGAGAGAGAGAGAGAGAGAGAGAGAGAGGAAGGGGAGAGAAAAGAGGGAAGGGGATAGGGGAAGTGGAGGGATAGATAGATAGAGAGAGAGAGAGAGAGAGAGAGAGATGGGCTAACGTGGAAAATAGAGAGAGACAGAGAGAGAGAGATAGGAAGGGGGAGAGAGATAAAATTATAAACTGACCGGTTAGTTGAACAGCGCTGGCCAAAGAAACGAGTACCAATGTTACAGCTTTCATCATTGGATGGCGTAATGATGAACATCCGATTGTAAGCAAGAAGCGAGAGACAATCGTCACACAACCACTATTCCACGAGTCCCGATGAAAAATGATCTTGAAACGATGAAACGTCAATTGAAAGAAACACAGGCACGTTATCAGTTAAACGAGAAAAAAAGATTGTCAAATGACTATTGATAGCCGATTGAAATACGGTGCTTGTCTGAACAAATTACCCGCATTCATGTCATTAATATTAAGTGTTGCTATTTCATGATGATGAGCGAGTTAATTCATAATGGGATCGACAATTTTCGAGGCTGCTTGCTAAACCTTGGAATGATATTACATTTTAATAAAATTAGAAAAATTTCTTTCCCGCTTGTTATATCTGTAATATATTCATATCGGTGTAACATGAGATTGGTTGATGGATATTGAGCCGTCACAATAATTGTTTGACTGATCGCTGAAGTGACCTGATATATATATATATATATATATATATATATATGTGTGTGTGTGTGTGTGTGTGTGTGGAAGGGGTGGGGGGGGGGGGCTGGTACTTGGGGAAATTCATTTAAAAAACGCCTTACATATGTCAGATAAAAAAAAAGGCATACCTCCATTGACAACGCTTTAGACCCCATACCTATCAGTTATCGTGTTGCAGAACGGTGCTTCCAAAATCATGCCAGAGTTTCTGGCGAGTTTGCGATTCTATAAAGCAATTAGGTTATGAGAATGAATTCGAAATTGTCGATTGACACATACGTTTGTTCTCAAAGTGAAAAACAACATGCATGGACTATTTTATTCAGGTACACTTTTTATGCTCCGTTCGGCATTGCAACAACAATATCGAAGTAGATTATCTATGATGAAAACCTTTCTAGTTAATTGGATGAATACGAAGCCAATTTAGTAATGACGGATGAGACATCGATCATAACGAAAACAGAAAACCAATTTTCGCACACATCCACATGTTATTTTTTCCTGCTTCATCCGAACCCTTGATTGGTATATAGGTCTCGGGGGAAATAGGTGTATACCATCTTGCATAAAACATTTAACGTGACATACATTAACAAAAATGATTTTTGAAATGATGAAAAGTCAGTCGAAAAAACGCAGGTCACGTGATAAGTCAAATGAGACACGAATGGATTAAATGCTTCAGCCCACGCCCTAGCTTGCGTTTCAAACGATGATTGACAGCTGATGAAATGGGCTGCTTGTTTAACCAAATTTCCCGCATTTATTTTATTAAGATAATTTAATTTTGAATGTTAAGCGATAACGGGGGCGAAGGATTGTCTTCAAAAGTGGGAAGGGGGGGGGGGTGAAGCACAAACAAAAGGAAAATTTCTTAAATAAATGGCACCTACATAGGGAAACCTCTGAAGCAAAAATATACAATTTTTAGACATTGCTTCATACTATTACATTGTTATTATCGTCAGGGATGATTTCGACATTTGTTTCTCTCTTTGCACGGTCCGAGATGCTACTTGAGCATAATTTGCAGGTTAGTGTGATGATCCGGATATTGTTTTTGCGAGGGACTGAAGCAAGCGAGCACAATTTCTAAGATGTATACTATAGCAGTGCCTTCGAAAAAATGCATCTTACAAAGAAAGGGGAAAAATACATTCCTGATGGGGGTTTAAGCACATTCTAATCATGACATACTGAAAAGACATTTAACCCGTTGACTACTGAATTTTATAAGCTTAACACAGGGTTCACCAGGTTCCCGTAAACAAAGGGTTAATAAGAAACATAAGTATATCAACCATAAATGCGAGCGAGCATAACGAGCGAGTTTTGGGGGAATAAATCAAAATGGTCTAAGTCGCTAAGATTATATGCACATTTCATTGTAAAAAGTAAACTGGGTACTTATCAAAAGGAAACAGGGCACTTTTGAGAATGGAAAAGGGGCACCTTTTTATCAAAGGAAAAGGGCATTTGTTTTAAGAAAAGGGATACCTATCAGATTTTAATAAAAGGCATTTATGGATTCGGGAATGAGCATTAATCACAAAAAGGGGCACCTCTACGATTTTTTATCATCGGAGTTAAATGTCTCTTTTGAGAATGTGGAACGACCACCCTTTTGAGAGAAAGAGTGGTTTTTATCTGAAATAAAAACGGGGCATTTCGTATGTAAAAGGGGACTCTATGGGGGCATTTGAAAATGTGCCTCATCTTTTACGAATTGGTTTCATTATCATCATAATAAATCGAAGGACGTTTTACTAATTTTTCTCTTGTGGCTCTTAAATATTAATGAACATAAAATATTTATAATCAATCATTTTCCCTCCATGACAGGTAGCACCTGATATAGATTAAAATGACAAATTAATGTTATTAACGTCATGACTGACTTCACACTCCACTTATATAGCAAGGTTATGTGTGAAATTTTCAAATTATGATGTACACACCCAAATCATTTTCCCTTTCTCTCACCATCCTGACTCTCTTTCTGTGTACGTTCCCTCTTCCTCTCATTTTAATTCTCTTCTCAATTCTGTCTGTCTGTCTCTCTCTCTCTCTGTCTCTCTCTTTCTATATTTATATATACCTCTCTATATCTCCTTTTCTGTGTAGATTTCTTTATATTTGTATATTTATATCTTTATCCTCTATTTTAATTATATGTTTCAATTATGACTAAATACATGTAGGTTGCATTTTATCTTATAGTTTTGTTTTGACGAATAATACCTGTAGCTTTTCAGGTAGAGGGTCGTTCGTGAATAGTTAATTTGTGGATGTGTTATAATTTTGTATGGTGGAAAAAGCGATGAATGAGTAGAATATTGCGGGACCACCCTGTCCGTAGTCCTGAAAAGTCTGTTGTATTTTGTTTTAAGTTATTAAGACAAACAAAGCACGCTGGTCGAAACGCTTAGACTTTCACTATGAACATGACTGACACAGAAAGCGGACACAATATACAGTTCCTCAGGTAGACAAAGGAACATCCCTTCACTGCTATTATGTAAAAATGTGTAGAACAGGTGTCACATGCATATTCACCTTTTTACATAATAACAGTGAAGGGATGTTCCTTCGTCTACCTGAGGAACTGTATATTTTGTCCGCTTTCTTTGTTCGTAATGTTCATAGTGTTTCCTTTACACAACATTTCTTTTCACAGCTCTTAGCAAACAAATAACAACATTCTTTCTCATGACAAAGTTGGTACCGAAAACTTCTACACGTTGTGCAAATCATTGTAATGAAGTCACGTTGATCCAATTAATATGAATATTCTGCAACACGTTAACAATTTAGTGTATGTTCTATACGTTTAGAATCAGTAATATCTCTCTATTCCCCGTCTTTCTTACTCCCTATCACTTCATTCTTTATTTATCTTGAGTACTCTCAAGTTTCTCTGCACGTGCATCCCATTCAATATGAATCATCTAAAACATGTGAACAATAAGCATATGTTTTAAAACATCTAGAAACAGTGGCCTTTCTATATTTCCCGTCTCTCTCTCTCTCTCTCTCTCGTCCTTCACTATTTCTTAGAAGCACGAAAATATCCTTGTCAGCGCAGCGTGCTGTAATAATGCAATCCTTTGGCGCCTTATGAGCATAGATTGATGCTATAACAATGAGCGCTATGAACACGAATGATTCCTTTTACAAACAGTATGCTTTTTTCTCCCGTAAGGCTAAGGGGGGGGGGGGGTTATTTCTGTTAGTGTTGAAGGACCCCAGGACCTCGCTTTACTGCGACTAAGTATAAATGTGTAATTACTTTCTGAAGGCCAAGTGAAGATTGGAGACAGAGCGGAAGAGAGAGAGAGAGAGCTAGATAAGGAGTGAGAGAGAGGGAGAGAGAGAGAGAGAGGGAGAGATATGGTAGAGAATGGAGGGGTTATAGAATGAACCTGTGAGAAAGCACAAGTATATGTTTGAAAAAGAAAGAGTGAGGGAATGAAAACGAAGATCAACAAGACGAATGATGCAAAGAGAAACAAGGAAGTGGAAGAGAGAGAGAGAGAGAGAGAGAGAAAGAGAAAGAGAGAGAGAGAGATAAAGAGAGAGAGAGAGCGGGGGAAAGGAAAGTAACACGAGCATATGTGTGAGAAATAAAGAGAGAGGGAGTGACAAAAAGATAAACATGATATAAAGTGAAACGTAGAGAAAAGGGAGAGAGAAAGATATAATGAGACAGACAGAGA